TAAACATGATTGCCTTTAATAATAATATAAGAAGAGGAAGAAAATGAGGAAGAATGAAGAGAAATAAAAATAAAGCAAGATTAAAATATATAAATTTGGGGGGGGGGGGGGTTGATGACGTGTGAGGTGGCATCATGTGGTGATGTAAGTGTGGGTGATGGTATTGATGCTAAAGATGGAAGGATAGAGTTTGGATCTCACATTGAATGAATGGTTACAAATTCATCCAAAAGCATGACTTCCCCCTCAATCGCACCAATCCCAACCGACCAATTAGGACTCTCAGGGAGGTCAGTTAAAGCGATGCCTTTCCTTTCACAACTTCAAGTTAGTGTCAGTGTGTGATCAAAACAAGCACTTCCTTGAAACACATCATCATTAATTTTTTGTTGATGTTCACTCACAAGTTGAAATCTTTCAAAATTTAATATTTTTATAAAAAAAAAAAATATTTTTAATCTAATTTACATTACAAATGACTATTGTCAATATTCATGTATAGGTTTATGTGTCATTTTTATTCTAAAACTATCTCTTTAACAGAATATAGTGTTCTATTTGGTACAATCTTCCTCTTAAAGGGTTAAAATCTAGTTGTAAATAGCATTTAATTAAAAAAAAAGGTTTAGTTTAAAACTAGCACCAACATGCCAAAATTGTTTTTCTTTTAAAAATTATTTGTCCTGGACGTGTCACACTTTTTAAATGATGATTATATATATATATAAAAGGTATGGAATATGGATCCTTCAAATTTAATTTAAATGTTTTAAATCCATAAAAAAATAGCACAAGTCAGTAAGAAATAATTCAAACTCATTAAGTGTTGTCACACTTTTCAAAAGTTGTAAACATTGCGCCTCATCAATTCCAAACGAATATACAAGACTCAATTTAGTCATTAGCAATTTATATTATGTTATACTCATCAATATTAGTATGAATTATAAATTTTATAATAAGCCACGTTATTAATAAGTTATAAATAGTATAACTAATTTTTCGTACTACATATAAATTAATAAATTTTAACGCCTAATTTGTTATTATTTTTGTCGTTTTGCTGGATTTTTTAATTGAAAGATCACCATTTCCTTACTGTGTAAAGCCAATAGGACATGTCAATGTACTAAGCTTTGAATTTTGATATCATACAATTTGCTCTTAATTAAAATCACTGATTGACGCTTTCACTTAAACATTTCATGCAGCGCAATAATAATCATTTAATTTAATCGAATGGTTCTAAAAAATTTTGTCATATTATATTAAAAAAATACTAAATCTTAAATTTTTGGAGGAGCTAAGAAGTGTATATCATGAGAGTTATTTTAATTTTTTTAAAAAGAAATGTATCTTTATAGCTTTTAAGTGCTGATCAAATTGAATGACAGTACTTGAAACATTGAGGGGATTTAGGCCATTCATTAAATCAAAATTCAATTTATTCTCCCCCATGGTGAATATTTTGTTTTTGTCCACAAAAAATAGCAAGTTCATGAAAAAAAATTTCTATATTCTACTAGGATATGTTATCCATGTGCACTCCATTTAGACTCTCTTAGATAAAACACATTCTCTTAGTTCGCTTAATTCTTACAGGATAAAAGAAAAAGGGAATTCAAAAAAGGAAAATTCCTTACTCATGGAAATTAAAGCATTATCTAAAGACTTGTCCATCCAGCAAGGAATAAAATAAAGCAACATGAAAAAATAGAAGGGGGGGAAAACAAACGAATTAAGAAAAGTATTTTCCCTTCAGAAATAGCAAGATCATGAAAAACCGAAAAAAAGAAGATAAACTATAGCTTGGTTTATCACATCTGGTTTATTTCAGATCAAAACACCTACATCATCAGTTGGTGTTTCATGCATATATCAAAAGCACATACAGCAAACTAAACAAGAACACAAAGGTTTTCAATTTCCCATGTTGTGTCCTACAAACCACATCCTATCTGATTACGAATCTTCTTGATGTAATCTGAAGCCAACCCATCAACACACACTTGTGATCTCTTCTGCATCACATGATGATCCTTCTCAATCTCATGTTGGCTCACACGAAGATATATCTCATCTTCTTCGTTTCTGCCTCCAGAAGATGGCTTGATCACGTAGGTCCGGTTCGGCCGGTTCTGCGGCTCTTGCAACCTTCGGCTTCCCCTGAACCGAGGCACCACCACCAACGGCTCAATCTCAGTCGCCATGTCTTCTTCCTTCGGAGCCTTCACTGTGGTCCCACCAAAAGTCCTCTCCGCGAGAGAGAAAGAAGAAATTCTGATGATGTTTGACACAACTTTCATTGATTTCTCACACAGAGACCTATCATGATCACTACTCTTGGACTTGCCTGATCTGCTATCCATGGCTGAGACTGGTATGTATGGTGCAAACAGATGAACCAAAGAGTGTATATTTATAAGCACACAAGTTAATGTGTTTGGTTAGTTGTTGTGGTTTCGTGTAAACTGAGACTAAATATTAATGAAAGATAGAGTAGGTTCTTCCTTTAGATTCCTTTCTCGTTCAGTGAAAAGAAGGTTCTCTTGGAAAGTAATTAGACCCCCCGCCCCCAAAACGCACATATATGATATAGAGAATCTTTCTGCCTTACTCTTCTTCCCGTGACGAGTGTGTAATCACGTGGTGTGTGTACACACACGCACAAAGCAAAATGTGCATCAGTTCTATATATAATACATTAAGTCCCATTATCAATAGTAAGCTAATTCCTAGCTAGGCTTACATGTATTATTTCAGGTGCTATTTTAATATATCTAGATTCCTAACTGTAATTATGCTGATTTATTTATGTTTTGTCGACATACAAGGAGTATACCACACCGATAAACACATTCCCAAAAGATTTGGGACAAGGGTTACCTCTCCTAGTTGAATTTGTCACATACATAAGGGTTAAAAATTTAATTTCTAATTACTTATTTAAATGATGAAAGTCATTGCTACTTGTGCCAATTTGAGATGGTTAATTTAAATTTATATTTAAGTAAGTGAAGTGTTTCATCCTTATAAATTATATTTTTCTTAGGGAAAATCAGTCTAAAGTTTCATGGAAGCACTTTAAATATGCTGAGGTCCTATAAATTTAAGAAATAACTGACAGGTCCCTAGAGACCTAAAGGTGAATAAGTATGAAAGTAAAATTACCCATTTTTCCTCTATTTGAAATATAAAAAAATCAGTCTGCTTCCCACTAACCCAGGAAACTGAAAACAGCCATCTTCCTCATTCTGTCGTGCTTCAGAGCTAACCACCGACTACTATTCTCGTGGTTGCATTCCATCGGAGAAGACTGTCACGCCGTTAGAGAGTGAAAAACTTGAAGGAGTAAAGAATGAGAGTTGCTCGCTCCTACTTCAGCAACTCATATTTGCCCTAATCGCCATTATCGGACTGTCTCTGTCGTCCTTTGCCGCCATCTCGCCACCACAAGTTCAACTGCCATTAATTATGCGTTTTCTTCTCCCATTATTCCTTTCTTTATTCTTTTGTTTTTTTTGCTGGTATCTTGGTTGTGACTTTAATTTTTTGCATCTTCGTTTTTGCACATCACTGTAATTTTCCATCTCTATTTTTTTGCTCATATGTCGGTTTTCTTCTCACTGTAATTCACCGTCACTGTAATCCTCCTCACTGTAATTTTGGTTCTTGGGCTTGAAAGTGTCTTTTTGGGTCATAGAACTGGCACAAAAGGTTCCACACTTCTTGATATTCACAACAAAAACATATTCATTTCCAGACATGTCATATTCCATGAACATAATTTTCTTTTTGATACCCTTTTCTCGTGAGCATTTAACAACTCCATTACCACAGACCTTAAACTTTTTGGACGTTCCTGATCCTTCCCAACTAATTTCCCCTACAATAATAGAACCTCACCTAGAATCTCCCACTGTTTCAGTTTCACCACTACCAGTCCAAAAATTCATGCATGCACACAAGTACAAAACACATCATTATCTACTGGAGTATCATTGCTCACTTCAGGCCTCAGCTGGATCATTTTCCATTGGAAGAGGTCATCTCTATCCTATGTTGTCTGTTTTTCTTATAGTAATTTTCCCTCTTATCACAAAGGCTTAACCTTATCCATTTTGACTGACCATTCACCAAGAACCCAAACCTATAATTAGGTAGTCAAGCATGATGAATGGATAATGCTATGGTTGCTGTAATTAGAGAACTGAAGCTGAATTAGTCTCTCGTGTCACTTCCACCTGGCAAGTAACCCATTAGTTGCAAATGGGTTTATAAAATCAAGTATAATGCCGATGTTACCATTGAGATGACAAAACATGTTGAGATTGATTGTCACAGGATTTGTAAAAGAGCTGAAGGCTAAAGTCATCCATCTCTTACATATTTGTTCCTCTGCTCAGCTAGTTGATGTATGTCCATGCCATATTTCTGTCCTTAATTTCTACTGAAGTGATTCATCACTACACCACTTGTTTGTTCCATTTTTGATATGTTGCAAAAGTGTAGCTATGCATAAGATTTTTATAATTACTTAAGGCGCGTATTTGCATGTTTCAACTTTCAACTACTCCTCTTGCATTTTATATTTTTATTTTGGTAAGTTTAAGTTCCAATTCTGTTTAAAAATATGTAATTTTAAATATGGACAAATTTCTCCATTGACGACAATTGCTTTCTTTGTTGACAACAACCATATACTGTATTAACTAAAATCATTTATTCCATGAATGACAACTAATTACTTCAATGACTACAACCATAAACTCCATTGACAACAATAGTATGCTCTATTGACTAGTGAACCGTCATAACTAGTGAACCGTTATGCCTCTGTGACTTGTGTTTTTTTTATTAATAAACAATGCTAGTGCAGAAATCTTTGAGTTGAAACTTAATAATGACTAGTATGCATATATCTCTTTTCAACACATCTAATTAAACTTTTCTATTTATTTTCTAGATAAAGGAAGATGAAAGATAAAGCAAAGACAACAATGAAGAAATATACCATACCATTTCATACGTGCTGCTCTCCCAGCCAATTTGGTGAAGTAGCAAAATATGTTAAGAAAGATGAGAAATTGCAAAAAAGGGTTGAGAAGCTAGGATTCCATAGGCTTCTTGATGTGTCTTGTAAAAAAATTCAAAGAGATATTTGTGGAGAGTTGATGCGTGCCTTTAACCCCCAAACTCGTGAAATATGTATAAAGGGGAAAATTAAGCAAATGAAAGCCAAGGATGTGAATGACTTGATGGGCTTAAGTAGTGAGGGTAAGCAGATTACTGGGGATGTCAATGTGAATGATAGAGCTTTCAAGAATTTAAGAAATACTTACTATAAAATGCCTTATAAGGAAATAGCTGCAATGATTATATCTGGAAAAGAGGTAGCTAAATTTGAGTTACTTTTTATAATGTATGCGTTGGGAACCTTGCTATTGCCGACCACAAGCCTTAAGGTTAGCGACCGTATATTGAAGGTTGTTTATGAGACATAAAAGAAATCAAGCGTATATGATTGGGCTACGTTCATTTTTAATGAACTTTGTAAGGAGGTAGAAGACTATAAGAAACAGCTGAGCAAAGGGAAGGGAAGGATGAGGAAGAACGTTAGGGGATGTATCTACTTTCTAATGGTAAGTATGTGTTCAATTTACATTAATCCAAAGTGATAGCCTTTCAAAGTTTTCCATGTAAAAGTTTTATGTTTATACTGATTTGTCAAAGTTTTAGGTATGGGGCTTCCAAAATTTTCCAGTTGGCCAAGGTTGTCTAAAAGCCGTAGATGCTCTGAAATATTAAGACGATGATAAAGTGAATACAAGAGTGAGTTAGAGAAAAAGAGCAATCGAGGCATCTTGCATGAGCCAATTGCTGTACATGGTAGTTCATCTACCAAGGTGTATCAAGAATCAGCATTTGTTCACCCGGTATGTATAAAATGGAGTACAATAGACAGATATATATGATCTTATTTATGCACTGAGTCAGAAATTGTCTTGCAGAAAGTAAGGAGGCTGTATGAAAAAGTGCTATAGTTTGTGTCTGACATTGGAGAGGAGTTAATGAGCTTGCAATCAATGCTGCTTGGATAAGGCTCAAGAGAGAAAGAAGGTGAAAAATCACAAGAGGAAGAAGATAATGATAAAAGGATAGATTCTGAGGGAAAGAATGAAGATGAAAAAATAAAAGAGGAAGGACCTGTTAATGAGGGGACAGCTTCAGAGGAAAAAAATGAAGATGAAAAATTTGAAGAGGAAGAATATAACAAAGAAGGAGTTGAACAAAAAGGTTCTGAGGAGGGAAGTGGAGATGAACAATCAAAAGAGGAAGAGAATGAAGAAGAAAAATTAGAAGGGGAAGAAGGTAAAGAAAAAGATGATAAACAACAAGGTTCTCCTAAAGAAAAGGGCGATAATGACAATTCAAAAAAGGAAGAGGACAAGGAAGCAGGTGTAGGAGGGAAAGATTCTGTCGAGGATGAGGAAGGGAAAAGAGAAGAACAATCAAGTAAACATTCTACAAGATCAAAAAGAGATAAAAGACCTGCTGTGAAATCTCCATGGGTTAGAACTAATGTTAGAAAGAAGAGAAAAGTAGATGAGAAGGAGCAATTATTTCAAATATACACAACATCATGTGAGGAAGATGAGGGAGACAAGTAAGTCCCTATACTGTGCCTAAAAACTGACTGACTAAAATATTAGTGACTATTTATTTATTTTTTCCTTCTTCTTCAACAGGATCATTATAGATTTGTATGGCTACTACTTGACTCATGCAAAGCTATAATATTTTGGTGGAAAGAGATGGATTAGTGACAGGGTGATATCAATGGTTGCCCGAACTTTGGTAAGTGACCAAAAGGAAAATGAAGGAAAAGTCTGAAGACATATCTTTGGTTCTGCGTTTATGTAAAAATGATCAGCAACCCTTTGAAATGGACGGTAGATAACAACAAGGAGAAATATTTTTTGAGTTTGTTAGATATAACATTGTTGATTGTGATTTCATTTTTGGCCCAACTCTTTTCCATAGTTACTGGTTTTGCTATGTCTTTGAGACCAAGAGCAAGAACTTTTATGTGTTAGATTCATTGGTCAGTAACAGGGAGTATTTCTAAAGACAGCAGGAAGAGGAAGAAGAAGAGAATGTTGAGAAGAAGGGCAAGGGAAAGGAAAAGAAGAAGAAGAAGAAGAAAGGACAACTAGATCCTAAAGAAATGATGGTACGAGAATGCATATGTTTATACTTGTCACTCAATATTACTAACATCTATATTTGTCATTATCTTATTGCTTAGTTGTAAATCAACATTGCTAACATTACAAGTCTTGAGTTTGCAGAGGAATTGCTTTCACTCTCTACTTCGTGCAGTCAAGCCACAATTGTTTGAGAATGATGTTAGTACAGACATTATATGGGCTAAAGTTCATGTGCAAACTGATACGTGAGTTCCTTTTATGTTCATACATCATTAAGCTTATATTTATATGTGGAAAATGAATTTTACATTATGTTTTTTATTTTGTTTTTAGCCATACTTGTGGGGTGCACGTTATGACATAGTTACAAATGTGGGACAACACTGCGGATAAGAATGGGTATACGATGCCAAAATACTCTTATGTATGCATTCTTCGCTTTACATTTTCCCTCTTTCATGTAGTACATATTTGTTGTTGTCCCTTATAAGACTTACTTATGGTGCAGGATGACCTCTATAAGAAGAAGGTAGAACTTTTGTGGTGGCTACTAAGTCATCGTAATAATGTGAAGGAGCCCGAAGCCATGTCGTTGTTAGAAGGATCCCAAGCGATGAGGAAAAGGAAATAGAAGGTTTTTGATAGAACTTGAAGATCCAATTTTATCAATCATCATATCCCTTTGTATAGTTAGCTCATTTTGTGTAGTTAACTTAGATAACACTGTTTATAAAAGTTGATTACAAGTTTGTAAATGCGGCAAACAGTTTGTTTTATTAATTGCATGTCAACAAGTGGTTATCACTTTATTGACAAGTGTCTATAAGTACATTAACAAGTTAATAATTTACTATTGACAAGTAGTAATAACTATATTGATAAGGTTGTAATTCACCATTGACAAGTATTGAGATAGTAAGTGCTGTCGTTTCCTTGGAAAATCAGCTAGTTAAATGAACCAGTTGACTACTTGGCATTGAAGATTGACAAGTACTATTAACTATATTGACAAGGTAGTAATTCGCCATTGACAAGTGTTGAAATAGTAAGTGCTATTATTCCCTTCAAATTTTAACAAGGTGCAAGAACCTGTTGACTACTTGGCTTTGGAGATTAACAAGTTCTTATAATTATATTAACACGCCACTTATTCTCCATTGACATGTCATGACGCACTTGGTGCTGTTAGTCCGTTTGAAAATCAACCAGGTGAAAGAACCTGTTGACTACTTCTTTTACCTATCGACAAGTGGATATAACTATATTGACAAGGTGTTAATTCTCCATTGATAAGTGCTGACGCACTTTGTGCTGTTAATCCCTTCGAAAATCAACCAGGTACAAGAACCTGTTAACTACTTCCATTGCCTATTGACAAGAGATATAACTATATTGACAAGGTGTTAATTCTCTATTGATAAGTACTAACACACTTGGTGCTGTTAATCCCTTCGATAGTCAACCAGGTGCAAGAACTTGTTGACTACTTCTGTTGCCTATCGACAAGAGATATAACTATATTGATAAGGTATTAATTCTCCATTGATAAGTGATGACGCACTTGGTGCTGTTGGTCCTTTCAAAAATCAACCAGGTGCAAGAACCTATTAACTACTTGCCATTAGTCATTGACTATAAGGTATCACTTCATTTACAATTTATGCATTTGCTATTGACAAGTTCTAATACATTATGTACAATAAACTAAAAAGTAAACAAAAATAAATTCCATATATATAAACATAAAAATACACTTGTTCGTAATATTTTCTAGCATGGATTAGGATTCTTGCAAGTCTTGGAGGTATAACCAATCTCATAGCATCTTCCACAATGATAAACCTTTTTGTTTTGGAATTGAGATTCTTTTCTTTTACTCTTTGGCCTACTAGGAGGCCTTCTCGTTGTTGGTGGCTCCAAGAAGGTTTGGGTTAATAAATTTGTCACCGTCAATGCTTCTAGACGTAGACAGTCATGTGTGGCTATCAGCTTCACGCTGCTGGCATATATCTTTTTGTGAGCAGTAAACTTGTAATTTACAAAATTGTACACATTGCCATGAAGTAGCTTGATTGCTGCACAAACATGTGTACAAGGTATTCCACTCATTTGTCATGCTAAACAAGAGCATGTACGTGTTGCAAGATCAACATTCAAGTGTATTAGTCCATTAACTAATATAGTTTGCGCAGAGATCAAATTTTCTCTATAAATTTGTGCATGTAAATTTTTAGCTCTCACAACTTGCTCCATAACTTTTGCCTCAACATTAGGCCTGACACCGTGTTTTCAATTTCCCATAGCCACTTTGCTAGCGACCATCTTTTTTGCCAATTTCCCTATATGGTCATGTATCAAAACATCAATATTGTGTTTTCTCTCTTTTACAATCCAAGCATTAAAGGATTCTGCAAGATTAGTTGTGATATTATCCCATCATTTATATCCAAACTTGCATTGAGCCCATCGATCTACATCCCTTTGGCTTTCAACCTATTGTGCCAACTGTGACAAAACATTCTTAGATTCCCCATTACAACATTAAATTCAACCTCATGCCTTGCATAGGCAATTGCATCAAGCAATTTCAACTCATTATCTTTCATGTTTCTCGAGGTACGCCTTTTACCTCTATTGATTTTCTTAAGTGCTATGCTAAAATTTTTCTTTACATGACAGTAGCAAAATGCATGTCTCTCACCACTACCAAATATAGCTTGCACGACACTAATAATGGCATTATTCCGATCAGAAACAATTGTTAACTCTACTGATCTTGTTATGTCTTTGACATTTTGAAGAAACTAAGACCAATCTTTTAATGTTTCCCAACTAACAATGGCATATGCTACCAGAAATAAGTCATTGTCAGCGTCATATGTACATGCTAACAACATTGTTCCTTGTATGGACCGCTTAGGTGACATCCGTCTACATAAAGTATGGCTCGACAACCTCCTAAAAAATTGAATATAGAGCATTCATAAGCAATGAATAACCTCTCAAATCTATTATTTAAGGCATTCCATTTTGCAACTGTCATCGAATCAGTTTCTATTAATTGATCACAAATCCAAGGGATTATGTTATAAGAATCTTCTGCACGATCATGTATTTCTCGCAATGCTTTTTCTCTTCCCTTATAGGCTTGACTGTAGCTCAATCGCACACCATACTCTCTATACAAGTCTCTTACAAGTTTATTGGCACCTTTATCTATATTAGACCTTAGAGCATCAACCATGATTGATTATGTTAATTTTGACCTTGCTAGGTGTGACACAATAAGGTTGTCTTGTGCATTATGGGTGTGATCATTGTTGAATTTTGTAACCCTTAAAATCTCATTATCTTTCCCTATTAAATATGCTGCAATGTTCCATTCACAGCCCTCCACCTTGCAATATGCAATGATCTTCTCTTTGTTATTCTTCTTAAACTTGTATGAAAAAATATAAGAGATGCTATACTTTTATAATGCTTGTCTAAAGGCATCAACATTAGGAAAAAAACTGCCCTTTACCTACTAACAAATCCTTCCATTTTATAAAACTCATTTTAGGTATTGGTGTAGATACCATTTGTACAGGGCATGCCAATTCTGAGTCTTCAATCTCAGGATAGATACTTGGTGGAGAGAAAGAGCATCCATCTGAAACTCTCAATAAATTATCAATCCTGTATTTAATGACAACATTACAATTGTACTTTTCAACATATTTGCATTAACAAAAAAATTTACACAACTTACACATGTTGGTTCTCTAATGGTAATCCATTGATGCTTCTATGGTTTCAGTCCCATTTGCAACTACATACACATATTCACTTTGTTTGTTATACTTGATCAGATATTCTACTCCATCATCATCAACTAGATCTACAAGTGTGCTTGCATCAACATTGACTGTGAATTTGAACTGGATTATATTGCTTTCATTCCCTATAATTAATGATATCATTCTTGTCAACTCTTTATATGTTGTCCCTTCCTTTATTGTTCTAGTTCTAATACTCCCCTCAACATATTGCATACTTCCTTGGTCATCATTTTAAAAATGCCCCCTTATATGGAAAAAACATAATATATGTTCTCCTGAAGAACTTCCCGTCTTACAAGTCAACTTGCACCACACACAATATATTGACAACTAGACAAGGTGTATTGACAACACATTTATCCACTATTGACAAGATGCAGTGTTGTTTAATAGCAAAGATTTTTCAACAAAACAAGCTTACCTCAGATGCTTGGGAATAATATATAAATTGTCCTATATGAAAAAAATAACATAATACATGTTTTCTAATAGTACTTGCATTCTTACTTGTTAGCCTACACAGTACAGTGTATTGATAACTCTTGATACCATATTGACAACACAAAAAAAAATTATTGACAACATGTAGAGATATTCATATCAGATATTTGTCAACGTATCAGTGTTGTGCCAGATTATTCCATATATTAGCTATGCAAACTGAATGATCACAGGTTTACCCAGAAAGCATTATCCTACCCTTAAATAATAATGAAATCATTAACGCACAAGAAATTGTTTACCCAGCTAACAATGGATATGTTACTGTTGATCGGTAATTTACGTTATTGTTTACGGCCAACAATTGTTTACCCAGAAAAATTATTTTCTGTCAATGAAATGCTGCTATTGCAGAAGAAACACTCCCAACTCACTTAGATGAAGACAATGGCTGTAATCATAAATATGAAGAAGTGAAGATGATCCTACCGTGATCAACAATTATGGATATGCAGCAACCTTCACTGTTACTGATCATGAGTTTTGTGAGACGTGCGCGTGTAAGCAAAATCTTCTTTTCAATGCTAGAGGAAAAATAGGTAATTTTACTTTCAGACTTATTCACCCTTAGGTCCCTAAAGACCTGGCAGCTATTTCTTAAATTTATGGGACCTCAGCGTATTTAAAGTGCTTCCATGGAACTTTAGATTGATTTTTTCCTTTTTCTTAATTAGAATAATCTACCAAATAAAATAACCACAATTTTAAGGAAAATGAAATACTAGCTTGAAGGTGAGCACAACTCAATCTCTCTGAAAATTGAATGTTCTTAGGAAATATGTACACACATGTACACACGCACATGCCTATAAGCATGCATGCATGCATGCATATAAATATTATAGACATACTTTTAATTACAACTTATTTATTTAATTTTTGACACCTTAGGAAGGTTCAAAATTTTGACCTCTATCCACACCCCATTCCACCCTTATCACCTGAGATAGCTTCGGGTAGCTAAGTAAAACTTACATATGATGTGTATTTATATCCATATTTGCATTTCATTTAATAGTTTATTAGTAACAATTAAATTACACTTTTTGCATGAATACGTTTGGTTAAACGCCGTTTATTTAACGAATGCACAACTTTCAAATTTGTGTGCTTTTAAACTTTTATGGGATTGAGACCAGACAAAGATTCTCATATGCGTGCCTGGAGAATGGGGAGTAAAGAAAGGGGGGCGAGGAATTTCTTCACATGCTTTACTTCAAGGAAAAATTACATTTAAATATTCTTAAGAAATTACAATTAATTTTAAGAATCAAAGTCGATGTATTTTTTAAGACCATAAATTTTAGAA